AAATCTGGTTGTGTTGGCTCATTTAACCAAGCAGGTTAAGCACTTCACTATTCAGCAGGCTACATTTCTTTCAGGTTAAAGCTAAAGCATCTGAAGACACTTCATCCAACCACAGGATGACAGAAGCACAGACAAAGAACTGGAAGAGACCAAAGAACTGGAAGATTGTCTGGTCACAGAGTGAGAATTGGGAGGAACTTTGGAAGCCCTCCATCCAGTCTAAAATCCCATTGCTTCTTTTCACAAAGGAGGAAACTGTGCCAACAATCAGCAGTCAGAGATGAAGTGGCTGATTTAAACCCAGGTCTTCTCATTCCCAGTGCTGCACACTCTCCACTCTTCCCACCAGGCTCTGACCCGTGTGAAGGAGACACCAGCACAAATCAGAAATCAGCTTGGCCCGTGAGAGGCTTACGATCTACAGGGAAGATAAGACAAAACCTGTGCAGCTACTCTGCAAAAGAGGATAGAATATGAAAGTACCCAGGAAAGGTATAAAGAACCATGAGAGTTCAAAGGAGGAAGAGATTATTTCTGGCTGGGGGTGATCAGGAAAGGCTTCACAGAGGAGTTCTCAACTAAGCCAGATCCTAAAGAGTCAGGCTTTTCAACAGGCAGGAGACAGGCAGGGGAAAAGGTGAGGAAAAGAGGGCATTTCAGACTCAGAAAACAGCATGAGTAAATGAATGGAGGCAGTTAAGTCCTGGCATATGCTTACAGCCAGTTTGCCTGGACCTCTGAAAGCCTGGGAGGGCATAGTGTCAGATAATGCTAGAAAGGTAGGCAGATTGCTGAAGACCTTGGAATGCCAGGCTAAGGAATCTGGGCATCACTCAGTAAGCAATGGGAAACCATTAGCCTTTCAAGCCACTCACCTGAAGGCTAACCCAATTACTAGGCTTTCTTCCCACAGGAGTAACTGCCACCAACCACACTGGAGGAGGCCACTTCCTCCTCCAGATATCCTTTACATCTCAAAGTGTTTAGACAGATGGGAATGGGTGTAGATGGACTTCCCCTCCTCATATCCTAGTAAATTCTGATGAGAACCCAGCAAAGCAGGGAGGGAAATAGTGCTGGGCTGACGTTTCCCACTGAGTCCCAGACTCAGTTACAGTATGAACTGCCTGAGTATTTCCTGGGTCTTCCTTTGTCTGAACTAAATCCTGGAACTTCCATGCTGGGAAAAATTAAATGCACCCACGAGCAGCAACAACTGTATTCAGTAAGATGTAAACAGCCACCCCCTTTAAAATCCACACATACACACCCCAACTTGTTACTACTCCCTCAGAAACTTCATTGGCACAAACTAAATCCCTTGGAGACTGGGGATCAGCAGGGGGAACCCCTTGCAGTTCCAAACTAACCCCTGGAGACATTATCTAATGATCACATCACCACAGACCTCCATCACACACTTGACCTACATTTCAGATCTGCTGACCAGTTTCCTCTCCCCATCCTGCTTCTTGTCTGGGCAGCTCTAACTAGTTGCCAGGAGCAGGGAGAATAAAGAGAAAGCCCTTTCTGGCTGAATTAAGTCAAGTTTTCATAAGCAAAATGAAGTAAAGCCTCATTCATTACACTTGCCCAATTTGGAATCGGTGGGGCTATGGACAGGAGTTTTGTGCTGTCAGTGAGAAGTCTGCTAAGCAAACAACCATGCGGCAGTTTTTGAATACTTTAGAAGCTCTTATGTACTTACAATCAGTGACAAATCCCCCATATTCAAAAACCACATCCTTTACTTGTTAACATAATGGACTAGCTTCTGCAATTGAATATACTTAGAATAAAGGTATAGATCTTTCAACACAATCTCTGTTAATTCTAGAAGTTCGGCACAATGTAGAAGAAAGAGCACTGGGTTTTCGAGTCAAGAGCTGAGCTGAACCTAAGGATAAGCAAGACAAATGAGGGGAGATAGGCTGCCTACAGCCAAACATAAAGGGAGAGGAACAGACCAGGGACATTTGTTTAAATGACTCCATGTAAAGGCACATGTTCTTAATGACATGGAACACAAGTATCTAAGACAACTGGTGGTACAACGGATAGCGCACTTGGCCTGGAGTCAGGAAGACCTGAGTTCAAATCTAACCTCAAGCACTATGTGACCCTGGACAAGTCATTTAACATGCCTACCTCAGTTTCCTCATCTGTAAAATGGGGATAATAATAGCACCTACCTCCCAGGGTTGTTGTGAGGATCAAAAGAGATAACACTTGTTAAAAAGAAAAAAAAAAAACGACTTAGCACAGTAGCTGGCACCTAGTGGGAACTATATAAATGCTTATTCTCTTCCTCCCCTTTTCTGCTAAGTCAAGTTGCATGTGTTATAGTAAAAGCTCAAAGCCTCTAACGGATCAACAATAACCCACTGGGTCACCATTTTCCAACTTCGCTTATGACACAGTTAGACTCTGGTCAGAAGAACCAATTGCTAGTTCTAACTCTGCACCAACCAACTATGTGACCTCGGCAAGTTACTTCCTCCTGGGTCCTCAGTTTACCTGATTTATAAAATGAGGAGGTTGGGCTTCAGATGATTTCCAAAGTGGCTTCCACCTCTAAAATCTTATGAATAAGTTTCAATGAAAAGTGAAAGGAAGGTTTGGGGCTGGTGGCTTCAGCATGCTGTGTTCACCCTTAGATCAACACTGCCACCTACTGAACACACACATTACGGTCAAGTAAGAAGCAAGGGGCAAAACAAGGACTGAATCAGCAGTCCATTCATTCATTCATTCATTCATTCATCCAACAAATATTTATTGCCCACCAGCCAGAAGTAAACTTTGTGCTATATGTTACTGGGAATAAAACAGAAGGTGACAATCCCTGCCTTCAAGGAGCTTATAATCTAGTTGGAAAAACATGTAAATCATAACACAGCATCTCATGTTCTAATTAAGTCCGGAGCAGGGAGAGGGAATTATATATGGTCTGATAGAGTCAGGAAGGCTCTATCAAGGTGAGAGGATTTAAACTAGACCTTGCACAGAAGTTAAAATTTGGTTGGGGAGAAGGTGTGCTACACTAGCAATCAAAGGGGAAAAAATGAAACTGTAAGTTTATGGGGGAGGGGGGATTCTAAAATCCCTAATCTCATAATAAAAGGTCACACATGTTTTAGGGCTAACTTGCCCCCCACACTCCCCTTCCCATCTAACTAGCCTCCAGGACTGAAAACAGGAAGGAATCAGAGCTCCCCAGAGGCCAGATAAGATTGGTGACTTATACAGAGAACATCAGGCCAAGGTCATAGACTCAGCCAATCAGTATTCTCCCCGTTCCTATCCTACTCGGAGATATTTCTTACAATAAATATAGTATGAACTTTCTTCCCCTCTTTTTAGAGGTGGAGAACTAGAGTTGTGGAAGGGTAGTGTGAGACACAATTGATATGTTGATTAGTTCTGCTGAAATGCTTTTCTTTCTTTTTATTATTATTATTTTTTGGTGAGGCAATTGGGGCAAATGACTTGCCCAGAGTCACACAGCTAGTGAGTGTTATATGTCTGAGGCCGGATTTGATCTCAGGTCCTCCTTACTCCAAGGCCAGTGCTCCGTCCACTGCGCCACCTAGCTGCCCCTTCTTTCTTTTTTAAAATCTCTGTTACAAGAGATAGCTCACTGGGTTGCAGGAAGGCTATATTTGGGGAAAAAAATGATGTGATAACAAAACATATGAATACAAATAAGACGTCTTTAAAAAAGAAACATGGCATGAGCAAAGGCTGGAAGATTAGTAGACCAGCCTGGTTAAACCAGAGTTTGTATAAGGGATCAGAAAAGGATGGGGATCAACCCAGCCAGACCAGCAACACCTCTCACCTGTACTACTGCAATACCTTCTTAATTGGGCTCTCTGCTTCCAGCCTCTCGCAGGGGTGAGGAACCAGCAGGCTCAAGGCCACATGTGGCCCTCTAGGTCCTCAAGTGTGGCTCTCTGACTGAATCCAAACTTCAGAGAACAAATCCCCTTAATAAAAGGATTTGTTCTGTAAAACATGGACTCAGTCAAAAGGCCACACCCAAGGACCAGTTCCCACCTCTGCCAACCCTCTCTAACCCATCCTCCTCACAGCTGCCAAAATTAACCTTCCTGATAATGTCCCTCCACTACTCAAAAATTCTTCAGGGCTCCTGATTATTTCTAGGATAAAATTCAAACCCTTCAGCCAAGTGTTTGATGACCTTCACAATCTAGCTGCAGTCAGCTCTTCTAGGCTTAATTCACCTTACTCCCCTCCATGTAACTCACTCCATTCCTGCCATATGGTCCAACTGCCATTCTCCGAATTCAACATTTTGTTTCCTTCTACCATGCCCAGAATGCATTCCCTCCTCACTTCTGCCTCTTCCATCGGGGTTCAGTTCAGGTTCTCCCTCCAGTGGGAAGCTTCTTCTGATATTCCTACTTGAAAGGGCTCCCTCCCTCCCTGTATTGTCTGTTTTTCCATTTTTATCCTTGCACCCTCAAACACCTACAAAGAACAGAGATTTGCACATAATAAGCACTTAGTTACTAAATTTTCACTGAATTTAATTGAAATCATGTTCTGGAGAGCCCTCAATACCAGTCTAAGGAGTTTGGTGTTTATCCTGTTATAACAACAACAATGATAAAAATAATAATAATATTAATAGCAATAATTGTAAAATGTCAGCTATTATTATCATATAGAGACAATAGGGAGTCCCTGGAGATTTCCAAGCAGAACTTTACATTAGGAAGATTAATCTGATAGCTGTGTGTAGGATCCATGGTACAGCAGATAGCATGTTGGACTTGGAGATGGAGGTTCAAATCCTGGCTTGGACCTCTCCTCTTCTGAGCTCCGAATAAATATTTTTCAACTGATTGATGAAAGGCTCCCTACCCCCATTTAGTCTTGGCACCTAAACAGTTCATAATAAGTGACGTAGGGAGAGGGAGAGGGGCCTTCTTTTCCTCATGAGATCACCCAAAACTTTATTTGGTGACACTTACCCCTGGAATCTCTAAAAGGTCAGCAACCAGAAGAGGCAGCTTTAAGGCAGCCACACTCCCAGTGACTCCCACGAGCACATGGACATTTTTCTTCCTTGTTGATAGAGCTGTTCCTGATGCAGGCACTGGCTTGGAATACAGGCTGACTGCAACAGCATCAGGCTCTGGGGAACCACATGCTCTAGGCTCCATGAGATACCTTGGCAGCAACGTGCAGGACCTAAAGACAGAGGAAGGACAACATTCTCAGTTTGTATCCCAACTGGGGCTAAAAATTGGTGTCAGGAACCTTAACTAAGAAGCTTCATTGTTTATATTTGTAAGCAGCATATTTAAAGAGGAAAACGCCGTACAGAGAGGTACTCTGCCAACACTGCAGAGGCAAACTCCACTTTTGGTGGGGAAGCAAGCTCAGGCAGTCTTTCCAAATTCCTAAATGCCTCTGGGACACCCTTATTGGTAGAGAGTCATCTTCCCGGGTTTTTTCCCCCACCCCTTTATATACCATACACACCAGTCCCATGTCTCCAAAGGTCCTAGTGCTCCTTATCCTACCATTCTGCCCTCTGAAACTCTTGTTCTGTTACTAACAAACTGCCCTTCACATCAGTCCTATGTTCTCCCCCTAGAAATTACTTTGTTTACTTACACATGTACATGTGGTTTCTTCCCCAAAATAAGGCAGGGATTATTTCATTATCTCTGTATCCTCAGTACCTAGCATAGCACACAAGTACTTAATAGGGGGCAGCTAGGTGGTGCAGTGGATAGAGCACCGGCCTAAGTCAGAAGAACCTGAGTTCAAATCCAGCCTCAGACCAAACACTTGACACTTACTAGCTAGATTTAAGGCCTAAGAACTTAGGACTGGAAGAGCTGTGAGCAAAAGGAAGGGACTATTTCCTTTTTTGCTTTTATATCCCTCAGTGCCTTGCAAATGGTAGATGCCTAATAAAATAAAATGCTTGTTGAATAAATGGAAACACAACACCATAGAACTGAACCTAACAACATCTAAAGAACCTGCCATGAAGGACACTAGATGCCCACTGGAGAACCCACCTTCTCTCCTAACAGTCTCTGGCTCCCCGTGGCCATCTGTAAGGAAGAGAAACCCCTGCCTGGCACCTCCCTACCCCCAAACTTCTAAAGAAGAATGACAAAGGCAAAGAGAATTAAGTCCACATAAATTATTTTTTGGCTCTTTGGGCTTCTACAATCTACTCTTCCCCATAAAGACCCCAGCCAACAGAGGCCAGACTTTTCGGAGCAGTAGCTAAGAGTACTGCATTATCATACGTAGCACAAGCTAGTGCCAGCTTGATCTAAATTATCAGTGACAAGGTCCCCAAAGTACCAGCTGCCTTTTGGCCTGGGATGTGCTGCCCCAGCGGCAGGGACATGGGTAGAACTGCCCAGTTGAAAAACTAAACTCCAAATGAATGTATTAAAAGATTACTGAGTAATAAGAAATGAATGGTATGAATAATTCAAAGAAACTGATGCAAGATGAAATACATAGTACTACAAGAACAATATACCACATACAATGACATAAATGATATAAAATAAAAATAACATTAAACTGAAAGAACTCTGAGTAACGAAAATGCCAATAATGGTTCCTGAAAATCGATAATGAAACATCTCTCCATCAGACAATTATTCACACCATCAGCCGTTTGGAGGGCTTTGCGGGGTTTTCTTTGTTTCAAGGGAGGGTTCAGCTGAGCTCTGCACCTGGAAGGGGGGATACCCAATTCAATGGATAAGATTTGTGAAAGGCAGTGAGGCAGACAATGAAAGTAACATTGAAAGTAAAAACAGGCCCACCCTGGAAGAGGCTTACGTTCTTCTGGGGGAAGCAACATGTACACAGATAAGAAAATACAAAGTAGATACAAAGTAATGGGGAGGAGGAGACGTGGCTAACAATTGTAATAAAAAAAAGACTTGGAATACAGACATGGCCGTATTGTGATGATATAAAACCAAAAGGAAACAATCTATCTTATTTTTAAACATAAGTAACCACTGCTCCAGTATAGGGAGTCACTCACCCAGCCGTGCTGGGAAAACCAGTCCTGCCAGCTGAGAGGGAGAGCCTGCTTATTCCCAGCACCTCCACGGCCCGTCCTTCAGAGAATAAGCCACTCCCCCTCCTTGCCATTCCCAAGGGAAGGAAGATGTAGATTCTGTGCTTTAGGGGAGACAACCAAAGGCTGGACCCCAAACCTGGAGCCAATACCAGTCAGACTGAGAAAGAATAGAAATGAGCTCCTGGTTTCTGTTTGGGGACTGGGTTTCTTCTCGGTGTCTCAAGAGTTTTCTCATCATGTCGTCATCATCACCTCTGGGGAACAGGTGACCCTGGAGAAATCAGATCAAAGGCAGGAAGCCAGTCTTTTATTTCTTTTGCCTCCTCCCCAGAACGGGGCCCCTCCCTAACACAAAGAATGAGCAAGGCTATTTTGTCTCAGTCCCCAGTTGTGAGTGCTCGGCCCCATCTGAAAAACAAACAAACAAACAAACACTGTACCCCCTGTCCTGATGGATATCTGCACATATTGTCTGTCCCTTACCTTCCATCCCCCTACCCAGTAGAATGCCAGTTCCTTGGGAGGCACAGGCTGCTTGTTTGTCTCTGTATCCCCAGGGCAGTCAGGACACAGCTAGAGGGCCAACTGTGAAGTCAGGAGGAGCAGCATTCAAAGCCTATACTGATCTAACCCCAGAGTGTGACCCTAGTAAAGTCACTTACCCTCTCAGGGCTCTAAACAACTCTCTCAAACCAGAGAGGGTCCTGCCCAGGCAGAGGGAGTTTCCTCACCCTGGACTTCTCCATATCAAGGAAGTCACAGGTCCAGCCTCTATCTCTAGACCCAGGTTCTACTAGTGCTATGCCTTGCACATAGTTAATGCTTAATAAAAACTTGTTTCACCAATTCATAAACCAAAAAGGTTTTATTAAGTGCCTACTATGTGCTAGACACTGCGCTAGGCACTGGGGAAACAAAAACAAAAGCAAATAGTCCCAGAATTGGATTCCCTTTCTCGTAGAAAACCTTTCTATTGCCCTGGGTCAAATCTGCAGAAATGGGAGTGAGGGATGGGAGTAGTTACAAATCCATTGGCTTAAACAAAGACACCACAGCAATATTCCCAAGGCAAGGATGCTATCCTATCTGTGTGACCTTGGCCAAGTCACTCCCTTTGCCTCCAGCTCTTCCGCTATAAACAAAGCAGTTGGACTCAGCTGACTTCTTAAGTCCCTTCCAGCTCTCGGGGTATTATCCTATGATTATCCTTTCCAGTATGGAAACATTTCTATGCTTCCAGGCTGAGGGTTTATGGCCATCAGTCTATATTTACTTTAAATTAAAATTAAATACCAAATCAATAAAGCTGTTACTACATCCTGATCCTGCTGGATTCATGTATTGACACAATGGGGCAAGGCTGAAGTGCCCCAATGAGTTGAAGGCAGTACCTTGATTCTCTAACCTCTATCATTCCTCCCCCACCCCAACCCCAGTTCATATCATAAAGACACAAGTTCATGAAGGTTCAAGTACTCTCACAACTTCCAGTGCCATGCAAAGTGAAAATTCTTGGCTCAAGTTCAAACAGTTGGCTAACTGGAATCAAGCATCTACTACGTGTAAGATTCAAAGCCAAAAATGAAATAGCCCCGACCCTCCAGAAGCTTCCAATCTACTGAGCTAATGAAGCCCTGAAAGCCATTGTGGGTCCTTAGTCTCAAAGCCCACTGCCACATGCTGATCCCATCTGTCAGCACAGCATAACTAGAAGTTTAAACTGTAGCGGGTAGGATTTAGACAAGACATTAAGCTAATCACAAGTGTCTTGTAAAGATTTTTATGAAACCAGTAGAGCACTAATTTTCAAGAAGGAAGTTTTCCCATTTATTTAAAAGAGGTTTTATTGATGCCTCAATTTCTGGAAATACTCCCTTGATCTCCTAAGCTGAACCCTCCTTTGTTACAAAGGAAAACAGTTAAGCACAAAAACTCAAGGGTATTTTAAATAGAATCCAGCCTAGAATCTATGGGCAACAAAATACAGTATGAGCTTAGTCAAAAATCCAGCCAGTAACTCTTGGTAACAGATAACAAAGTAATTAACATATGTAAAGTGCTTTGCAAACCATAAAACATTATGTAAATGTTAACTACTAATACTATTAATAATAGTAATAAAAAGCTGACATTTACATACAGTGTTTGATAGTTTTTAAAACACTCTGCAGTTACCTTATGTGAACTATTTTTGAGCCCCCCATCACCTAAGAAAGGCCTAAAACCTGGAATGGTCAATCAGGAGAAAGACATTTTGGCCCACTTAAGCTTAACTTCCTTCCCATAATGCTCTGGCATAATAGACATGCTTTGTTCTGCTCTCTGAGTGAACCCAAAATGTCCCTTCCTGTGTCAGCAACTACAAGGCCAGATGAAGCTGACCAGCAGCATTCTTATGTTTATGACTACCAAGGACAAGGTGTCTTGAACTGGACACTATCTTGAATAATGGGCCTTTTATTATGTTTTCTTATGTTATATTATGTCATGTTAATAGTAAAAGAAACACAGACAAACTGGATCTATAATTTCAATTGACACCTTGACATTCTCTTATCTTATTGTATTTACAACCTATCCTATTAAGAAATCCCTTTCTCACATTATGGTTAAACACATATGGAGACTATAATTTTGGGCCAACACAGATATCCTGAGTTGGGATTGCTCTAAGTGTATAAAGAGTCTCCTTCAGCTTGTTTGCCTCTGAGTTCAGAATTATTTTCTGATTCCATCATGCATGATTCTCTGGCTTAATGAGAATAAATAGGCACATTATATCATGAGTACAGCCTGATTCTGTTTGTTCCTTGGTCAAACCTTTGGTAAGGTGAACCCCAATCTGTTCGTTCTTGAACAAACCTTTGGTGAGGGGGATCCCATTCTGTTTTTTCTTAGGGTAAACTTTCGGTTATGGGAAAAATTAATTCTATTTGCTTCTTTGAACCAAACCTTTGGTATGTGGTTGACACTTAATTTGCAATAACCCTGCAGAGAACACAGGGCAGATATTGTTAATTACCCTTACTTTAAAGATGAGAAGAAAACTAAGGCTCAGAGGTTGGATACCTGCCTAAGGCTTCACAGGGGGAAGCAAGGTGAAAGAGCCAGAACATGGCTCCAAGACTTGGGATTCCAAATCTATTATTTTCTTTTCTTTTCTTTTCTTTTCTTTTCAAAGTGTAATGGCACAAAGAATACTGAAAAAAGAGTCAGATGCCTGTTTTTGAGTTCTGGTCCTAACATTTACTAAGTCAGACTCAAAGACTATTAAATCTGGATAAGACCTTTGAGATGAGTCATGTCATGAGATGAGTCTGAACCTGTTTCCTGATCCATAAAATGGGAGTGATGAACCCTGCTCTGTGTACCTCACCAGGGATATGTGGATCAAATGAAATAACACTGTATATAAATTACCTGCTTTGTAAGATATAATGTACAATACGAATTTTAGGTATTACTGTTACTGTACCAAAAGCTAGTGTCTGCTGTGAGGTCTCTTCATATTTCCTGGCCTCAGAGTAGGGAGTCCTGAGAGTACCTGGCTAGAGTGGGGAGGAAAGGGGCAGAGAAGGGCAGTTTTTGAGAAGAAGAAGAGAATAGACTTGACTTAAATGACCTCTGGAGGTTCCTAGTATGCTATGAACAACAAAAGGTTAAAAAAAAGGAGAAGAAGATGGATGGTGCCTCCCAGTGGACAACCAGAGACAACTGGCATCCTGGGCTTCCGATAAGCTTCCTTTCTACAAGGAAATGATCCAGAAATTCCAAAAGCACAGTATCCTTCCTTAAGTCAATGTTCTATCTGATAGAAGCCCATTGGACACACAAAAATGTTTTTGAATCAAAACTACTTCCTAAATGAGTCACTCTATGACTCACTGGTATGTGGGCCACTCCACATACATCTAGAAATATGCATGAAAGGGACCTTCTCTCACAGCAGGAAGTTCTGGACCACCTCATTGGCCAATAAAAGGTAAGGTCAAGCAAATGATCTATTTCTTAAAGAGTGAGTCTAGGGGCAGCTAGGTGGAGCAGTGGCTAGAGCTCCAGCCTTGGAGTCAGGAGGACCTGAGTTCAAATATGACCTCAGACACTTGACACTTACTTACTAGCTGTGTGACCCTGGGCAACTCACTTAACCCCAAATGCCTCACCAAAAAAAAAAAGAGTCAGTCAAACTCTGTATGCCATTAAGTGATGATCAGGTCTACCAGCCAAACTGTAGACAAAGTCTAATTCTTATCCTGCTGAACATTACGAGTATGTAAATATTAGATTTATAAATGCACATAATTTGAGAACATATTTTTATTAATTCTGTTCTCCATGGCACAAGGGGGTTTATATTGTGATAAATCAAGGCTCTGCTACTTACCACCAGGGTGACTAGCCTCTCATTTTCTTCATCTATATAAAATGAGAAGGTTGAACTTAATTGATTTTAAGATCACTTTCTAACTCCTGGTCTATGAGGGGCAGGTATGCCACTGAAGGCTTGAAGTTTCAAGTGATAATAACAGCATGTACATTAATTTCTAGGATTTGCATAAGATACATAAATGCCTTGACTTTTTGCTATCCAGCCTAGTGTAGTGGAAAGGGTACCTGACTTGGAATTAGAAGTCCTGGGTATGAATCTGAGCTCTTATACACAGAATCTGTGATTTCACTTCCAGTGACTCATAATAATTGACATTTCTATAGGGTAAAAGCTCTTTGTAAGCAAATAGTTTGAGGGTAAAGACCATTTCCTTTTTGGTTTTGTACCTCCTAGCTCCTAAGTAGTGACTGGCACACAGTAGGGATTTAATAAATGCTGAACTGAATTATTTCACTTCAATCTCATATCTGAGGTAGATACTTAGGTATTATGAGGAAACTGAGACACAGGGAAGTTAAAGTGATTCATTTGCCTATGGTCCCACTGCTACTAACTGTGGTTACATTTGAACCCAGGCCTCTTAATGCCAAATCCAGAGCTCTTTCCAGTTTTCCAGGTTATAGTCTTAGATTCACAGAGCATTCTTAATTTTCCCAAAGTACTTTACCACATATATTCCCCAACCTTCTAAATCTGGGGTATACTTGCTCCCAAGGGGGTAGGAGCTTGTCAAGAGAGTAAGGGGAATATTTCGTAAATAATTCTATCTAGTAGACAGCTAGTTCAGCCTCAGACCCTTACTAGCAGTGTAACCCTGGGCAAGTCATTTAATTTCTGTATGCCTCAGTTTCCTCACCTATAAAATGTGCATACTAGCAGCACATGCCTCAAAGGGTTGTTGTGAGGATCAAATAAAATGGGATCCCATGATTTCAATGGAGATAATAGTTAATAATAACTAGCATTTTTACAGCTCGAATGGAATGTGTCAAGCACCATGCACGTGAACCTTACAGCA